TGATTGCCTGAAGTTCAATTTAAACTAGTTAATACAGAAGTAATTTTCAATACTGTAAAATCTGACGCTTTCATTACAATAATTATGGAGATCCTTCCATGAAGGTGCTTGTTCAGGCATTTCCCGTTAAAGAGTGACAACACTCTGTCCCTGTCTCCCAACTGTGCTCCTGCATTGTCATCCTGTCACACAGGCTTTTTATGGAGACTGCAAGTGGTCACTTCAACAAACACTGTGCAGGCATGATTCACTTTTGTCATCATCAGCAACCCCCCCCCAAAAAAAATACCATGCAGTCATCACTGGAGTGCACGCATTTACACAGGAACTGACTGCAATGAGGCTACAAGAAATTAGCGGCACTAAGATGCAACCAAAGATGAAAAAATGTTAAAACTGTATTTTATTTGAAAACAAAAACAAATATATACAACTGATGTTTATGATGCATGGTGCATCAGTAAATGAAATGCCATTCACTTAGGGTTTACAACATTTTTTTTTAGACTTTATGGCTTCAACAAAGTTAAATTTTTTCCTGGATTGTTCTGTCTGTTCAGTCATCAGTCTCACTTGCTGCCTGGAGTTGGTCTTTAATAAAACATTATGTTCTTTTCTTGTGTCCAAATTGCATTGTAATTATTATAATTTTATGAGGATTATGGCGGCTTGGGTTCTATAAAATGCAAAAGGCATGGTCCTGGCATGAAGGAAAAGGGACAGGTTGTAGCCTACTGCTTCTGAAAATAAGATCAATATTGTATTTGAATGCAGAGAGCAAAATATTAAAAGAATTGTAATGTTGGCAGTGTTCATTATTCCATATGTGAGTTTCTCCTCTCTGGAAGTATCTGCTGTCACATACAATGCTGGCACAATAGCATTACCTCCCTATTGTACTGGGGACAGCCGTCTTATAATACTAGCATGTAAATGATGTAAGATATCAAACTTGCCAGTTTTGTGTGAGAGCCACGAGCACTACAGCTGGTGACAAAGATGCAATGTCATCATCCTTTTCTCCTTTTTACATACCTGTAAGAACACTGCATCATCCATCACGGCTGAGTGAATACAGTTATCATGTCTTTGACTTTTTCCTGACTCTAGTACTTTAAGTGTCACAAATGTTGACAAGCAGAAAGCTTGGTTGCTTCATTTAGCCTTAGCAAAAGCATATGATACCTTTGAAACCCCAGCAGCATCCACTGACAGGTACATTGATGTCAAAGAGAAACTGACTACTTATCTCAACCCTGAAAAAATAAACAATGTAAAATCTTCATATTCATGCAAGTAGCAGGAGAGCCTAATGCATCTCTAGATGCACTTCACACCAAATTACATATTCTGGCCAGAAGCTGTGAATTTTCACATCCCGATATTGAGGTAAGAGCACAGATGGTACAAAGCTGAGAAACATACTAAGATATGTATGAAGACATTTACTTAACGTTGTGATGACCAATGGCCAGACCAAATTCCACAGCATCAATTAGTGTTGTGAACTTGATAATAACTTTGTGACTAATTTGACTATTTGCATTTGCCTTCCTCCGCTGTTTTGTTGAGGATATACTAGGTTTTTATTTGGTACAATGTTTTAATAAATACCCTGCTAAGGTTGACAAATGAACTTTTTTTTAACTTGTTTTATCATTAATATTTTTACATTGTACTGTCTTCTTTAGGAAAAATATTTCTTTCTATGAGCACTGCAAGTGCATACAGAAAGAAAAACTCCATCAGCTGTTGCTGCCAGTGACAGCTGTTTACAATTAAAGTGATGTGATTGGCTGACATGATCACATGATTGGGAACCACGCTGATAGCTTCCCGATCATTAGTCTGCCCAGGCAGCTGTTAGGTCAAATGAGAGCACCAAATTTGATGATAGGAGTTTGAAGTCTTTAATTAAATATAAAAGGGATTTCTTCAAGAAAGCTTTGATTGCATTATCAAAAACAACTATAGAATGTATTCCAATTACAATGCTGATGTTATAACAGGAGAGTATATGCTGGAACTTTAGAACTCTTTGAAAGCCAATCTCAAGGCAAAACCAAAGACAATGGTCATCAAGATAAATGGATAGGGCAAATCTCCCCAGCTTGGATGCAAAAAGCAATACAAGCTTCTGCTTAGTCTAGGTTCACACCTAGGCGACTCCTGGCCACGTGGCAATCCGCGCTGTTTTGTGCACAATTGCCGGGTGGTCAAGAGTTGCCAAGATGTGAACTGATCGCGCTGTGGGTGCCATTATTTTCTAATGGCACCCCAGTCGTGCCGGGCGGATTGGTTTACCGCTGCAATTCCGCCTGTGCAAGTGAACAACGCGGCTAAGCTGTGCGTCGTGTGTCGCAAAAAAGGTACTTGTACCTTTTTTTAGCGATTGCCGCGCGGATGTCATTCCATTGAAATCAATGGGGCCACGCTGCAATCGCTGTGTACACCTGAACACGATCGCGTGGCCCCGGGACGCCGACCTGGGTGTCGTGCGGTGTAGTGCAGGTGTGAACCTAGCCTTATACACACATTTTAACATTAAAGGTTTCCACAGGATTCAAATTGTACTCAGGATATAATTAAACAAGCTACTAAACCTATATTTAGGATATTATCCATATCATATATGCACAAATTTACCAGGTGAAAATCAAAGAAAACAAGCCTAAAGAAAATACTAATGCAGCTACCTCATCGAAGGACTGATAAGCTGAAAAATATCCCAGTTTTGCTTTTGGGTTAAGATACGCTTTTTTACCTTCTAAGGATAACTTAACGACGGAAATTATGTATAACTAATATTCTGTATCCTAGTTATATCAAATATTATCATGTGCTGTCTAAATTATGTATATCTCAGATACAAAATATCCTAGCTATACATAATTTAGACAGCACATTATATTTCTTGATACTGTTTATTTGAATCCTAGGCGCTACATAATGCCTAACCATTCTGGCTGTTAATATTAATTAGGAAAATACTTTAGAATGTTGATCATAGGAGTGTCCAATTGCATTTGAGGATCAGGGAGATCTTTTTCTTGTTAGAGCAAATTGTATCATGCATAATAATTATTTTTTTTACCCTTCCTCTGGATCAGCTGTGGGTTAGGGGTTCTGAGGGTGCAAAATATTTTCATTTTATTTATTTTGCCTTTTGGTACAACTTAGTGGACATCTGTGTTTTTTTCAAATTATGTAACTGTGAGAAGTTACTCTTAGCATGCCTGTTGGACCGCTGGAGACCTAGACTGCTGCATTGTTAGCTCTCTAATGTGCTGCTAGCCTGGGGTATTTTAACCCTTGCTGCAGCAGTTAGTATAAAAAAGCATATTTATTACTGTACATGCTTTGCAATAATAAATATGCTTTGCAATAATAAATACCAAGGCTTCAACTAGGCTTTAAATACAATGGCAGCTTAATGAATTTATGTTTTGTTTTTTTTAACGTAGATAACTTTTTATATTACTGTCTCTGAGTAACTCCCTTCAACCTAACCAAATAAAAGTGATCAAGGATAAAGCATTTAGCTTTTAATGTGGATTATATTTGTATAATCTAAATAATATAAAAGAAACCAAATTAAAGCTGCTCTAATGGTATTACACAAGCTACCATTACTGACCACTTATGAACATTCTAGTTGTTTGTAATGGCTACAGTGGTTTTTTATTCACCAACTAAAGCTGGTCATACATTTTGATCATGCTGAACAAAAAAAATATAACATATTTCTCCATCTACTTTAAACAGTGTGGATGGATAAATCTCCCGCTGTGTCCTTTGTATTCTGACAGCGGCAGGTGGACTGGATACGGGAACAGTGATGGCAGCCAATCAGCCAATCACTGTTCAGCCGGAGATTTTCCATTCGGCACCTTCGATTTTCTGATCAAATGATGGCTACAGGGGCACCCACTGTGCTAATTTTGGTCGGTTCATCAAGAACTGGCCGAAATTCGCACAGTGTATGGACAGCTTTAAAATTGTACAGATCCCTCATTTCAGTCTAACGTCCCAGTTTGCATACAAGAGATAGCAAGGCCACTAGCACTTTGAAGATCAGGCCAAAAATGGAAGCCTTCATCTCTTAGCAAAGATTTCCTTAAAGGATTCATAACAATATTACAAATATATGTACCAGTGGCGGATCCAGTGGGGATAACGGGGCAATTGCCCCCCCGCCCCCC